TAGATTATGGTAACAAGAAATGATACCAAACTCCATACATAATAAATTTTATTATAAAAATATTCCTGCTAAAAGAAAAAAATTAATAAAATATTTTTCTCCTCCGTAAGCAATTTTTTTTAATGTTTAGCGTAAATTAAACGAATAAGGTCAAATGAATGCGGTACATAAATTTTCAATTTTTAAAATATTTAATCAAGAATGCACTCAAAAGAATATAGAGGAGAAAATGCCTTCTCTCTTTTCTTTTTTATTAAAAATTATCGACTGTCTTTCTTTGAATACTTTTAAAATTGTTTATTGGGTGCAATTAATTTATATACACGTCTATTTTTAATTTAATATTTAAAAAAAAACAAAACAAAATAACAAAACAAATGATTTACATCCGAAAATATGTTATTCCTATAATATTACAAATGCGTTTTCTAAATTTTAAAAATAAATTTTCTAAATGAATACTCGTATGCATATTTTTGGATTTAGTTTTAAAATACTCCAATAATTTGTCAAAAAAATATAATTTTTGTAAAAAAAATGTCATTTCATTTACAAATTTTTCATTGAAAATTCCTTAAAATACAAGCTGAAAAAAATAGATAAATAAATTTAAAAAGAAGAAAAAGCTCTTAACATTTCTTAATTTAATGATGATTGCTATAAAAACAAATTCCAATCATTAAGAAAACATAAAAAAAAAATCTAGCCGGGGAAAATTTTCTTAAAATTTTATTTCGCCCTTTCTATATACTATTAATTTAATTTCTTCACAATTCCTTCTAAATTCAAATGATTCGCACTTATAAGGTAAAGTAAATACAAAAATTTTGGAAACAGAAAAACAAATTTGCGTAGGTTGCCAATACAACACCCAAATGAATATGATGACACCTTTTAAAAGATTTTAGAAAAGCATATACAATAACTTTTCAGCGTATTTAATGAAATTATTAACAATATGATAATTTACAGTTGGTCAAATAAATTTTAGGATATCATTTTAGATATTTTATTAAATAAGAATTTTTAAACAAAAATATTTAATCGTATTCTTATCTACACAAATCACAAAGAGAGAAAAAGAAAGAGATAAAAATAAATCGCAAGAAATTCAGTAGATGTAACAGAGAGAATTTTGATATATTGAATTACTGTTTTGTTCAATAGGCGAGCTAGAATATAAAAAGTTGATAAGCTGATGTCTTTGTATCTAACTATATAGTATTAGAGAAGCATATCACTTACGTTTCAAGTGATTTTGAATTTCTGTATGCCAATTTTTTTCTGGAATTATGATTAAAAATGTGATAATTGATACTTTTTCACGAACAGTTCCGAATAGCAAATTTACCCTTATCTAAAAAGTATAGAGAAGATGCGAACCTATCGTATTCTTGCATGTTTTTCGCATACTCACAGTTAATGAGTAAAAAATTAAATTTATAATTAGATTTAAATCGAAAAATTTTCACAGATGGTGTTACAAAAGTATAAAGAGAAATTTTGTACATACACCATAAAAACTGAGTAGTAGGTAGGTATTCAGAGACTCTAAAATGCATTCTGAATTCTTAAATAATGTTATTTTTTTATGAGTGACTATGCTAATAACGTAAAAATAAGTGTCTCATTCTTTCAATACCAATATAATATAATTATAATATTTTACGTGTGTTTTTTTTTGTAACTTTTTACGTGACTAGAAAGAAGTGAAGATTGAAGAATGATGAAAGCTGAGAATTGAACAAAATCAAAAAACTGAAAATAAATATAAAAATTAAATGAAATCATTAAAAGAGTGGAAAAAGTGCAATATTCTCTGCCCATAGTGCAAGTATACGGTATGAAATTGGAGACTTTCCATTCTTTAAAAAAAAAAAAATATTTTGTATACTGTAAAATCTAAAAATAGATTCTTTAAAGCAAAACAAAAAAGAAAGAAAAATGTATAAATGACGTGTTCAAAATAAGTTATTGAAATCCAAGTATAGAGCGTCCATTTTAGTTACACTAAGAAGAATATTTAAATATAAATTGTTTAAGGGTAAGTACCTATAAAATGAATGTATTTTTGTTCAGAAATTAACAATCAAAAATACTTCAAGTGTAAAACTTTTCTTTATGCTCTTTAAATTTAATAATGAAAAGCAAAACGACATTATTTACAATTAAAAATGAAAAATGGAAAACACTAAACGAAAAATACGAATGAACTCATAAAAATTTCTTTTTAATAATATTAAAATTTTTAGTTCTCAGTATAATTTTAAAATATCTGTGTAGATGCATTTACGCTGATATATTTAACATAAAACTCTAATTAAAATAGTAAAGTGACCACAAAACAAAATAAAAAATTGTTCAACATGAAAACCTATTTTCCAAGAAACGCATTGATTTATCAACTAAAACTCTCAGATAGCACAAAATATATTCTTATTTTAATTATCTATGGCTATGCTTTGAACTAAATTTTGTGGTTGGGACTACAATCTTTTCTCGAATTTTGATTAATTTAATTAAATCAGTTTAATTTAAAGAAAACTCATAATAGGATATTAGATAAATATTTGGAGTTTATGAGGGCATAATAAATTTATATAAAAATATTAAAATTATTAAATGGAAATTCAATCATTTCAAATGCGATTCGAAATCATAGTTATATAACCGGAACTTAAATAGATAAAGCATAAACATAACATAACATAATAAACAAAACATAATGTATATATTTTATATGGGTAAGTAATTATGTGTATGTTGATGTGCCCTTTACGTACACAAAATCACAAATGTATATGTAATAAAAAAGTATTAAAAATAGAATTACGTACCTAAATTATGACAATAAAAATTTAACTTTTGAGTTACATTTTAAGATTTTAAAATTCAATTAAAATAAATTTTTATTACTCGTATCATTCACACTTGTTTGAATCACAAACAGTTGATTATGGAGATCAATTTTAAAGCATAAAAGCTGTATTGTAAGGTGTACTAAATTTCATCAAATATTAATTTAAATGATCTTAGAATACAATTAAAAAATATCTAGGAATTAATCCTTACAAATTATTGTAATTTATACAAAAATTACTTAAAATTTGATTTAATTAAAAAATGATGTTAAAAATTACTTAGAAACTATTTATAATAATTATTTTAATTTTTTTTTATTATTTTTTATTCTGTAACTAAATACTTTTTATTTTTATACAGAAGAATAATTAAAAAAAAATTGTAAATGAATATTTTATAAATAAATATTAAATTTATAAAATATTTTCCGCTATCACAAAATAAAAACTAGTTGAGGTTAAAAATGTTACAATATTAAATTATTAAATCTGATACAAATTTCGAATAATAAATAAAACAAATACAAAATAATTTTGTGATTAAAAAACCACAACTTTAAGATATCACAAAATGATTACTAAATAAATTATTTCTATTTTAAGATTCTTCTAATTTAAAACAAGTGCCTATTTTCTAAATTAAAGAAGTAAATTAAAATTATTTAAGATTCTGAAAATTTAGTATATTTGTTAAGTATAAAGTTTTGTAATTATGAAATTGACCTTTAATTCAATTTTCATTACAGGAATAAAGTAATTTTGAAAACCTCCACTTCTGTAACATAAAATAAAGTAATAAATTTAATTATAATTATCTATTCACCATTATATTATATAGTTTTGAATTATAATGCAGACGGAAAGCTAGACATAATGTAATTATGTTATAAACTAAATCAGGTAATTTTTAAAATGAATACATTAATAAATTATGTTCGTATGTATATTCGTATAATGAAGTTGAGTTGAGATTCTCTCTTATTATTCATTCAAAATGTGGTAAACATTTATAATGTTCCCTATTGAGTTCGTTCGTATGTGTATACATATTAATTATTATGTTTGTAAGATTGGTAACATTATGATGAATTAAAATGAATCATTTTATCAGTAAGATTTAATACATATTTTCTATATAGGCATATAGGGCATAAAAATAAAAATATTTTTTTTTTTCTTCTACATCATAGTTTTTTAGTCTGATTCATTATTATTTTCTACAATTTAACAGGAAGGAAAAATGAGATTTTCTAAATTTTTTTAAATAAGATTTTTTTTGTATTAGTTTTTTAATTCTTTTTTCTAATTATCAAGTTTTAATACTATATGAGTATATAGCAATATATATATATATATATATATCTATATATATATATATATATATATATATATATAAATATACTGATATTATGTATTAATAAAAAAATATAGTGAGTTTTGGTATTTGACTAATTAAAATAATTAATATTAAGATTAAAATTTATACAAGTATAAATGCTTAACCTAATTTAAAGAAAAATATATTACTATATTATAGCTACTCGTATACTATATTAAGTACATGTAGGTACATAAGAATCACAAGTTTTTGAAAGAACTAACGAATTTTCTTACTTACATACATACATTAGTAATTACAATGTGACCCACACGTAATTATTCTTAAACTGAATACAATTAAAATAAAATGTCAAAATCATTATTGGGTAATTTGATGCCAAAAATAAATGATTTGTTAAATTAGTTATTAAAAATATTATGAATAAACTGATATACAGAAGATTTCTTGTGTCACAAATCAAAATATTTAAATTTTTAAATATTTTTCAATAAATTTTCTTCATATCGTATACAAAATGTTTTTTTTATAATTTGGAAATATGCCAATATTTAAAACGATTGATTTTTGTACTATGGCGTTAAAAACAATTTTTTAAAAAATATAAATTTCTAAATTATAGCAAAACAATAATTTATTCATTCGTTTTAGAAAATTATTTTCTCAATTAAGAATATTCGTATAATCGATTTGTAAATATATTCATTATCAATTTTTGGATTAAAAAATAAAATTAAATAAATTTCTTATATTCTTATTTCTAATAAAAATTAAAAATCAAGTAATAAATTTTCACTTACTTTTTATATTTGTCAGCTAACTGATCCACTTTGGCCTGTATGGCCTCCGCCGAGGGTTTGTGTACTTCCCCAAGGAATGTGAGGATTGATTTTGAGAGAGTTTCAATCTCTTTATATGATGTATTGAGTTCTTCAGATTCAGTGATAATTTCCTATAATTAAAAAAAACATAATTAAATAAAATATTTATTAATATAAGAAATTCATTTTTCGATAAAAGCGGACAATTGCAAGTAATACAATTTTTAATTGATGTTGAGTTCATGCATTGACATCATTAAGTTTGCTTAGTTCAGTTTAAACATTAATTGAATTTTCACGCAATATAAAAGTGTATTGCAGGACGACTATAAGTAGTCGATTTCAAAATTCAGAATTCCTAAATGTTTCTTGCAAATTCTAAAATCTAATTCACCTATACAAAATTTTAGTTTTCTTACTCTACTAGAATAATTTTATTTGAATCTTTGAATTACAGCAAAGTGGTAAGGTAACAAAATATAAATATAACAAATATGAAAATTATTTTTTGTTTGTGAAAACCGAAATAACTAAGTAGCATGCTTTTGTAACTTTTCTTCTATCTTTCTATCGGAAATTCATATAAATAAATCATATTATGTCTATTCACCATCAGGAATTCATATAAACATAAACAGTAAAATTATATAATCGTATAGTCTACCTGTACCATACTGTTTTCTAAAATCTATGATTGATAGAAGATTATGTACACAAATGTCAAAAATTGTGCCATTTCTCAGTTTGTATCCATATAAAAACTGTTATACAGTATGTAGATAAATAAAAATTCTTAAGAATTTTAAGAAATTTTTTGTATCATATCGAATATTACGGTATGACAGTATGACATATGAATGTATTAAATGATTTAACCTTATTTTAATGTCAAATTTTTTCATTACATATAAGTATCCTACATTTTTCTTTTATTTTACTTTTCTTTTCAAATAAAAGATGAGGTTGCCATGAAGAAGACATAAACTTTTCTCAGAAATTCCTTATGTATAGAGAAAATTTCATGTGAAAGACTTAAACTTGAAATTGAAAAAAAAATAAAAAGAATTAAGAAATATGGTAAGAAAAGCCATTGTATTTCTAAATCATCTGAACGAAGGAGTGTATGTATGTAAATATATATAAACATGTAGCATGATAAAGAATTATAATGTATCCAAATGTATTTAAGTATGTACATGTATATATTGTCGGTTATTTAGTTTAAATGTTTCATTCAATTAACATGTTATTCAATTTAATTTTGTTTACATACATACATACATACATACATATATATATATATACATATGTATATAAAAATGTAGTATAACTAGCATGTAGACGAAACCACAAATTATTCAAAAATAAAAAAAAAAATAAGAGGAATAAGTAATCAGGATATTGCATACCACTTAAATGATAAAAATTAAATTAAATTTATTAAAATTGCCACAAAGAGAAACACGAAAATGCTGAATACTTAGTTTAAAAATAAGTGAGTTTTATAAAGACTAAAATAATTTTAATATCATTTGCGGCTAATATTATTGATATTGCTTTTTTTTTCTTTATAGAGTTTTTATTCGTACAGTATCACATCTATTTATGTAATTTTTAATTACTTTATTAAAATTGTAATCGTTTTTGGATTTCTTTAAAATTTTCTCCATTTTTTTTATATACCCATACTTACACAAGTAATGTATATAGTTAGTCCAAGAAAATGTTAAAACACTTCATTGTTTTGCTATGGTATGGCAGATGTCATAATAAAATCTTGACATGGGCAAATTCAAAACTTCACAACAATTAATTGTGAAGTAAAGTATTTGTCTCCGAATTTGTGACAATTGTCTCACAAATGAATTCTTACAAGAAGTTTTAATAAACGTACACAAATTTTTCTCGAGATTATTATCAAAATTGTTAGAAACTATAAATTTTATTTGTGAAATTTTTAAAAAGTTTTAAAAAAGTATTAAAGAATGTGCACATACTGTAATTTTGCAGCCTTAATTTCATTTTGTTTTGCTTTTTTTTATACTCTCCCTCTGTTACATAGTTATCAGAAAATCACTATTTTATATTGTATATTTTTGTACGCAAAAAAAAAAATAAAAATAAACCGATAAAAATAAAATAATAAATTTTGAGCTCATTGCACTTATTTAGAGAGAATCTGGTTTTGTAAAGGAACAAAAAAAAAAAAATGTTAACTTTCTAAAAAATGAGAAAAAAAAATTTTAAGAGCACGTGGCATATTTTAAGTGAAATAAATCAAAATATTAAAATGCAAATTTTTTCATTAATATTAAACTTACATATGTACATACATATGTACATTCGAACTTATATATGTATTTATTTAGGCAACAAAAATTATTTAGTACTTTGTGCCATAAAATTTTTATTTTTAATGAGAATTTATTGAATTTTTTTTTTATTTCTAAATTAAAACCATTTATAGAATCGATATATAAATAATCGATTCTATTTACAATAATCAAAGGTTATTTATAGAAACATTACTTAAATTGATTTAATGGACTGCGTTGTTAACTTTTTTATTTTGTGTTAGTGATGTTTGTTTAGTAATAATTCTCTTTATTTTATAACATTTTACCTAAGTTACTTTTATTAGATTGCGTCCACAAATATAGTACACAAAACAGATAAAATCATAGTATTACATTGAATTTCTTAGGTTCATTAAAGAAAAAAAATAAATATTTGTGCATGCATTTTTAATGAAACACTTGTGCAAAAATTTCTCTGGAACTCCCAGCTCACTTAGCACTATTTATTTATTCTCGAATAGCCCAAGGTTAGGCTTAACTCATACCAAATTAAATCAAATTTCATGTGGGAGTATCTAGAGGCGCTAGTAGAAGTTGGTACTAGCAATAGGGTGCACGTCTATACTTATGGTAACAAAGAGGCGGATGCTCTTGCTCTTGATCCTATCTTTGGACTATTGCGGTTGTCACATGAAAGGGTGTATTCCGCCTGCCAATCTACAAATCTAATTTAATCTAGAACAGTTTTATACATTAGTATAAAAAAGATAAAAGTTCTAATTAATATATGAAAGACAAACTAAGGCGAATAATAGAATCACTCTATTCACTCCCGTATTGTTCCATCGGTATAAAACCAAACTTAGATTGAAATGAACTTACTAGCGACAAGTTTAATGATTTTTGATACAACATATTTTTTTAAAAATTTCTTAATTAATTTTTTCCTATAATTTAACTAATTTAAAAATACAAAAATATACGCCTAATTTGGATTTAAATTTCAATTAGTTTTAATAAAATTTTGTTTTGTTCGAATTTTAAAAGAACATTTGGTTTTGAAGGTGGTATTGAACTATTGAAATAAAAAAAAAACGAAAAAGTCAACAAAAACATAAAATTCAACTTCTAAAAGCGGCAAGGTCATAAAGTTTTCTATTTTGTATACTACTATGATAAAAAATTTTAGGCTGACTGTTCTGGCAAAAAAAAAACATCAAAAATAGTTTTTTTTTGTATCTCTTTAATTCTAGTTTCCCATTTTTTTTTTTTTGATGACACAATCGCGCTTGAGTTACTTTTTTTGCTTAACTAATTTTTAATGTTTTTCTCTTATATAATAAATAAATTTAAAAGCTATTATCGCATGTTAGTTTCAGCAATTTAAAACGCACTCGTACAATAGTCATTTCAAAGTGAAAAAGAAAACGTACTAGATTTAGTATCTAAGGTAAAAATTTGTTGGTGCCTACGAAAATGCAATTCCTATTATGTCAAATGTCGCTCTAATTTAGATTCTAATGAATTCTACTTAAAAGAACTTCTAATTAATTAATTAAAATTTGAGACAAAAACTTCTAAATAAGAAAAGTTATTGAAAAAATGAGACTTGTAATGACGTGAGAGTTTTCATTAACTGTATACAACTGTACAATCTACACACACACACATAGATCATGTATATAAAGTATTTTTCATCAAAATTGAAAAGCAGAAATAAAAATTCAGCGTTTTTTTTTTTTTGCTGATTGGAATGCCGGTTCCATAAACAAGTTTTTGAATATTGCTAAAATATATTTTCATATTCAATTAAAAAATAAACAAAAATAAAAGAGCTGGTAAAAGCATAAAAGTAGACAAAAAAAAATTAATATGAAAAAAAAAAACCGGTGAACTGGGAACTAAATTTGGAAACCAGAAATTAAAAAATTTTCAAAAAAAATATAAGAAAACATGAAATCGATAAGAAAGAAAAATATTTTATTTAGTAAGAAATGAGCATTTTTATCTTTTATTGAAGAATTTATATTCCTAATTTTGTATAATTTTTCATAATACACTAATATTTTAACGGTGTTCAATACTATAGCAAGTAAAAATAATAAATTAATTCTTCTATTAAATTTAATTTTATACAATATAAAAAATTATTAATTAATTATTAAAAAAAATTTTAGACTGAATTTTGGGCAAATTGTTTTGGTACTTTAAGCCGATAAGCAGAAGACCAGCATTTGTAACAAAGAAAAACTGAATGCAACTGATAATTACTGTGGTTGAAAATTATTAGTTTCCTGAAATATTTTTTAAAATTCTTATCATAGAATAGACAATATGAAAATTTGTAGGGACATTGTGCCTGAATTGAAAAAGAAAGAAGTTCAAATATAAGCGAAATATTGCTTGAATTATCAGCTGGACAGACCACAATATCATGAACTAAACTACTTGATATGGACAGCTTATGATATGGAAATCTCTCTTAGTGGTAAAATTTTATAATAATAAATTTTACAAAAATTTTACGTGCAACATATTATTAATAGTTACAATTAAATAAATTTTTCTTTTATGTTAGATGTAGAATTTTTAGTAATTGATTGCCAAGTGCTTATTTATCAGCAAGGAAACAAGTGGAAGGAGGCGAAAGTTTTAATGAATGATGTGGTTTACGTACTTTATAAATTTAGTTATGTATTTGAAAAATCTAATTTATTGATGTTTTTTCTCTAAAAATTTTTATTTATAAAGTTTTCTGGTAATTAAAGTATAAAGTTTTAAGAAAAAAAAATTTGAATGAATTTTTCACAAATTATGGATAATTTTAAATATTTCATTTTAATTTCAAAATCAATTAACGCTTTATTGATTCAAAGTTTTACTATTTTTAAAGAAATTTTATACTAACTAGATTTCATACTCTTAAAACAGAAGTTTTTATATGAAAAAATTGAAATTTTTCTTATTTTTTTTTGATTTATTTTACTTTTGCAATTTCAATGAAAACTTGAAGGTTAAGTATAGGTAAATATGATTGATTTTGTTCTTTTTCAGAAATTTTTGTATTACTCGCAATATTTGCATTTAATTTGAAATAATTGAATTCAAGGTTTCTTTTATAATAAAGATGTAATCAAATTGATCATAGCAAACTTCTATAAAACAACTTTAGAAATGATCGTCTAAGAATAATTTAAAATAGATTAAACAAAAATTAAATATAAAATAAATTAAAAAATACTTACTTGGATAACATTCTTTGTCTCTTCGAGTAGACGTCTTGATCTTACGATTGGATCGACATGTCTAAAACGTTCTTCTAAACGTTCAATCGATTTTTCCCAATCGTGTAATTTATTATCAAAATCTTGCCACCTATCTGCTAATGATTGTAATGTATCTCGACGATTTTGTAATGTACTTATTAAATCTTTCCAAGATTTATTTAATGCTTGATTATCTTTGTCAATTATATCACGATTACGTGTATCAGCGTTGCGTTTTAATTGTTGTACCAATTGATTTGCTTGATCTAAATCACTTGTTTGTCCCTGAAAATTTAATTAATAATTTGTTTTTCTTGTTTTTCTTAAATTTGTTTTTTTATATGTGCATATATAAATAAAATATTTTTTTTATTATTATTATTCTTGTTGTTTTTGTTTTATATAACTGAATATGATTGCAAAGAAATATTTATGAGTTGTATATGAAAATATTTGGCGTATGATGGCTAATATTATAAAATTCAGTTTAAAAAAATTTCCGGAATTTATTTAATTCAATAAAAGTTAAGATGATTGAATTTCAAATCATCAAGTTGAAAAAAAATTTATGCAAAACAAAAATTTTTTTTTCGTTTGGATTTTTATGAGATTTTTAATATAATTTGCATACAAATAATAATTTAAAAATAAAATCGTGTCATCATTATTAAAGTCTCTGATCTTAAATAATATTGGATTTAATTTTCTTTTTTTGGAAAAAAAATTTTCTGTAACAATTTTTTTCATATTATAAAATAAACAATTATTAAATTTTCTAAATTATTCTCTAAATTATTAATTATCCTCACAAATTTATGTTTGAATTAAATTAAAATATTTTGAAATTCTCTTTTTATGATAAAAAGCAAAAATATATTTAAAATGTTTCAGAATTTTCAAAAGCTGTAGTGACATTTCTTAAGTGTTTTAGTACCCAAGAAAAATATTTTTATACTACATATATTGAAATTTATCGTATATGGGTCATTTCATGCAAATTTTAAGATTTTAAATTGTATTTTGTTTTACAACATGTCAACGCTAATAGTAAAAGTTATTAAGTCGGAAAAATTTCAAATTCATATTCGAATCAAATTAAATTTGTAGCTCAATTTTCTGTTTAATTTGTTATGTTCTGTTTATTATGTCCACAAAATTTTTGCAATTTCTATTTCACAACTACTTAATTCAGTAATAAATATTTAATATTATCAGTTTTATATACTTTTATTTTCATTTAAAATAAATCGATTTTATTAGTGTAATGTTGGTTCTAAACCTTTCCTCTTTATGTACAATGAATAATATTGGATTAAAGACAACAATAAATTCATTGGTGGCAATTCTTTTTTAACATATTCGTACTTTACGTCAAAATAAAATGTAAATAATTAAATTGATTAAGTAAGTATATAATTTACATTGTATAATAGAGTGACATTAATCTAATATTATATGAGTACTTTATATATTGTTTAGCATGTTTATGCCAAAATCTTATAATACGCGAAAATCTTGTACTTTTGAATTTTCTATTTATTAGAAAATATTACCAAGAATTTGCAGAAACGAATGTATATTTGGTCATTTCAATCACCGTTCTATCCTTCATTACCAGAACCCACAGAGTGAAGGTGACAGTGCGATTTTGAGTACCTTATTCGATAGTAAAAATCAAGCAAAAACCTTAAAGCTTAGTCATACGTCCATGTATATAAAAAAAAAAAAAAAAAATCCAACGATGTCAATATAAATTTATTGATTAAATTTTATGTATCCAATTTTAATATTTCTGCAGCTATTCTATTATAAAATGAAAAAGTCGTAATTCTTATTTTTCATATTTAAACACAAAAGTTAATGGAGTGTATCGCAATGTATAGAGCAAAAGCAGTAATACATACAAGTTATATGAACTCTTTATTATTAATTTGAACTCTAAAAATGAAATAATATCAAATAATTTGTTCAAAAGAACTTTATATACATACTTAACATTTGATGTATACCACATTTTGTTGTCATCACACAAGAAAATATAATAATTATCATTATTAGCATTGGACTGAATGTTAAAATTCTCATATGTGCGATTTTATGAAAATTTTAGTGTACATATGAGTATATTATAAACACACATATAATATAGTATTTACTACGAGTATTGTATATAAGTAGATAATATTTAAATTTCTAAAACTAATTTTTTTTTTTTTTTGATTAAATAAAAATATTGTACTAAAAAACTTTACTAACAAAATTTGAATTTAGGTTATTAAATTATAAATGCTTTTTCTTATATATTTTAATAACATTTTGTAAAGAGAACTTAATTGTTTCAATTCTCATACTCGTATACATATATGGTAATATGAGAAATAAAAATTTTATGGTTATATATACATATGTATATCTGCTTATTTAGAAAAATAATACCATATAAGTTAAAAGAATATAACAAAAATTTCTTAATTACAAATTATACGCATAAAAATAAACGATTGTGTCACCGTAAAGACAGAATCTAAAAAAAAAAAACATACCAAATTTTTATAGATTTGAAATAACAATGACAATTTGAATCCTTATTCTGGTCAAAGAATACAAAAAATTTTTATCTTACAAAGTACTTGGTGATCAAGTTTAATTATATAAAATATTGTCCTTATAATTGTGATAGTTATTATCATATAGTATTTACTTAATAACGTATAAAAAAAACAGTGCTTATTATTTGCTCTTTGACAAAACATTCATTGAATCGTCGACGACATCTGTATTCCTTTGAAAATAGAAAACATAAATTTTGTAAGTAAGTAAACATTTATAAAAAAAAAAATATTTTTCTATCCCTTCCTTCCTCAGAGTTAATATATTATCGCCAAAAATTATCCAAATGTCAATTTACGATAATTAATTTTTTAGACACACTGTATACATACCTAACTTTTTTAAAATTGATTACAAGTAATCTAATTCAATCTTTATTCTAATACAATTATACCTCTCAGATTTTTATGCATTCCTCTGAAATGTATGCAACATTACCATACGATAATGTTGAAGAAATAACCAAATATATAGAGGTAGTACATATGTATGTATCGTTAATTCTATGTTCATTCGATTTGTGTTACATTTATAATTTATGAAATATTAATTTTATTAAATTAATTAAACAAATTTTATAGATTTTCTTAAAATAAAACCGAAAATCTTTTTTGTTTTATATACAAATGGAAAATTGAATCATTGAAATAAATTTGTACTTTATAAAAATTATAAGAGCAAAGAAAATTTAGTGCCAACTCTGTGTATACATGACCATAATATTTATATATACATACGAACGTACATTATTGTAAATATTTTATGCATACATCTATACATATTCATTCATTACATTATGTTAAAATGTTATTGCACCACCTATAGAGAAAATTCCAATATTTTTTTAAAGTTTTTTTTTTAATTTTTCTTTTCTTTTTCTATCGTAGTTCAAAGGATTATAATATGTATTTTAATTTCAATTAATCTTTTAAATTTTTTATTTATATTATGTTATACTATATTATAAAATTCTCTATGATTATGTATAACATTAAATTTGTATTGCATAACTATTTTCTTAAAATGTATTATTCGTTGTAATAAAGTATATATGTATGTATAGATAACTTATAATTTATACATATTTACTATATATAAATATATACATGTGAACTACTTTACTGTACAGTAGAAATATATAATATAGAATTATACTCATTTATAACAGCTACCGTATAGTAAATATAACAGATTTATAAGACAAAAATCTAATAAGCACATTTGCTCATGTAACTTTTATTTAAATGCATTTGTATATGTATGTAAGTATATGCAAAATAAAATAAAAAGGAATTTTAATCGATATTGACAGAACATTGTTCTTATAGTGAACGAAAAAGGAGCTATTTTCATAGTTGTGTTCTTTTCATTTTAATATCCTTAAACAATTTTTAATATGCGGCTGAGAGAAACTTGTAAAGGAATTTTCAAATAATATTTTTTGTATGTATGTACATAATATGCATGCATGTCCTATATGATAAAGGTTATGGTATAATTAAATTATAGCTATTAAAATATAAATTGTAAAAAATATAAGTACATTTTGAATATTTTTAACATCTTATTGACATTGTAGTCGAAAAAACTAAACATTTTTAAAAAGAAAAAACATTTTTATATAAAAATTAAATTTCATTTGGATTCATAAAAGTGATATTTATCTTATCCTAGCATTGTATCCCAGTAATTGACTCAAACAATAAAAATTAAAAATTATTTAATTTTCACAATAAAACTTATTTCAAACATATTTTAGTTGTTTTTCTAATAAGCCAAAACTCTTGAAAGTATTCAATAATATACAAGCATTTAGTAAAATATGACAACTTTAATTTATGCTATTGTATTTCATAAATGAAAACTTAAGTCATTAAAATGCTTAATTAATAAGGTAAAAAATCTAAGATGTACAAGAGAAAACTAAATTATACTCATTTTCTTAACATCTTTTTGTTTTCTCCTCAGAAGGATAGGAAAGTTTATTTGTCTGAAATAGAGAGAAAAAAATTCTGTAACAATTGTCATATTTGACTGAAAAAATGACATTTTATAAATTAATTTAGTTTTGTCGCAGTTAAGCGATACAAATATCAGATTTTGAATATTTAAGCTGAAAATGATTTTAATTTTATTAATAATAGTATTAATATCTATAATTTACATTCAAATACATGTAAGAATATATTTCGTTATATTAACAATAATATATAAAATAAATGTTCCATAAATGACATTTACATATAATAAATTAATTTAACAATAGCAAAGCGCACACCAAAATTAAAGAATGTTTTGTATATCCTTGCATATACTTTATTTAGTTAGTTAGCTAATCCGATATACATATTATATATGTATGTACATACATAAAAAGTATATGCACAATAGACGAATATATATGCAATTCAAATTAGATTGTAGCTTAATATACATAACGTATATGTATGTATTACATTTTATATTAAAATATTGCAGTTGTACCCAATTGTGAAATTCTATAATAAATTTACTGTCTGCATAAATATAGACTGAAGAAAATCTTTGTATAGCACACCTATCGTTTTATTAATATAATATATAAAATTAATTCTTTATTTTTTAAATATTAGAAAATAAATTTCCATCTTTTTTTTTTACAAATAAAATAAATTTTTCTTATTAGAAAATTAATG